ATGGGAGGGAATGTGGGTATGTGGGGTCATTTTAATTTGTAAAGCACTTTGAGTTGCATCTCCTGTATGAATTTTGCTGTATAAATAAAGTTTATCATTATTTATTATTTCAGTGTGGATTCTTCCCCTCTGTGTACTAGCTGCTCACCAGGAGGAGCAGACCATAAAGTAGATAGAAACAGAGCCCTGCCCTCCTCTCCCAATGATTGGACAGGAATTCGAGAGACGTGATTGGTAGCTAAGACTCGTGCTCTCATTGGTTCCACCCAAGTTCCTCCCACTGACGCTAGAATTGAGACAGAATTATTTGTAACACTGTAGATTTGAGGTTTGTACCTGTAGAATGAAATGTGTGTTTTGAGTAGGGCTGCAACTAACGATTATTTTCATAATCGATTAATCTGTCGATTATTTTTTCGATTAATCGATTAATCGGTTTGTTATTGTTTAGCTATTTAACCTATACAAGTGATGAATACATTTCAGTTAAGAAAAAGAAAAACATAAGAGAATTGTGCAGTTGACTGCAATCTATTTTATTGCACATGAACAAAGTCAGCGGTGTAAAATGAGCTAAACAGTGCAAAATATCAGTCCAGAATAATTTTTTGGCATCAAAATATAAGAGGTAAATTCCATAAAAAATAATGTAGAATCTAGAATAGAGTTTGTAAGTGGTATGCATTGCTGGGGGGTGAGTGTCTTGTTCCCCATGTAGTTGTCCATCGTTGCTTGTTTTTTTCTGCATAAGAAACACAAATAGACTGAAATAAGTACACATATAAAATAAAGCAGCACACACACTACAACACTAAATCAATATTACATTATTTGAATTAATTAACAATATACAGTGATCATTTATTTTGACAAAAATGTGTTGTGAGGCGTTTTACAGCGTTAGCCAGTAGAACAGCCTTTTAATAGTAAAAAAATGACTTTCTGAATTTCTCCTGTATTTAAAAATTGAAAGCGTACAACTATGCCATGTTATATTCACCTGGACACAGCTCGCCTGTATATTTTTCTCCACGGAGTTGTCCTTTTTTGAATGAGGAACATAGTTATGGGTTTGTGCCGTTTTTCTCTTAACGAGAACATTCTTATAAACAGACGTGCTAAATTTGGCAAACGCATGATACACAACACGGAGGAGATTCACGATTGCATCTAGTCAATCAGAAGTAGAACACCGTAGACTGACGCGGCAAAAAAACATGTTTAACATCCACTATAACGAACTCAGCTCCCAAATTTGATCTGCGTTAGCTTGTTTATTTTCTGTTACTTACCGGACTTTCCTCTGCTGCATCAGCCCCCACATGTTTTCGTCTCAAATGTTCACTTAGGGACGTCGTGCTTCCGTGCCATGCTAGATGGTTTTTGCATGTTTTGCAGGTCACCTGTCTTTTCAAGGCATCTAGAGTGAAGTGCTCCCATACTCGTGAGGTTTTTGTCCGGGGTTTCTCTTGTTTTGTCGCTTCTATTTTTCTTCCGTATTTCTTCTTGTTCCGCCATCTCTCACAGCAAGATGAGCGTCAGTAACGTGTTACGTCATGAAAACCGAGGGCACTCATTGGCTCATTTCTTCTTCTACGACTCCACTGGTAGATCAATGGCTCATTAGTGCCACACACTGGCGGCAAATTTAACAGATTGTAACCGATGTCAGATTGTGGTAAAAAAATACACTTTATGCGGTAAAATATGATTATTAAACAACTAATCGATGACTAAAAAAGTTGTTAACTATTTTAATAATCGATTATAATCGATTAAATCGATTAGTTGTTTCAGCTCTAGTTTTGAGAGTTTTGATTTCAAACATGTACATTGATTTTTTTATTTTGGAAGTCTGCTAGTTAAAACCCGAAAGTTTCATGTTTCTGAATGAATGTTTGATTCAATTCAATTCAATTCAATTCAATTCAAGTTTATTTATATAGCACCAAATCACGACAACAGTCGTCTCAAGGCACTTCACATAATAAACATTCCAATTCAGGACAGTTCATTAGGCCAATCAGAAATAATTTTTCCTATATAAGGAACCCAGCAAATTGCATCAAGTCACTGACTAGTGTCAGTGACTATACAGCAATCCTTATACTAAGCAAGCATAAAGCGACAGTGGAGAGGAAAACTCCCTTTTAACAGGAAGAAACCTCCAGAGAATCCCGGCTCAGTATAAGCAGCCGTCCTCCACGACTCACTGGGGATCGAGAAGACAGAGCAGACACACAGACACACAAACACACACACACACACACACACACACACACATACACACACACACACACACACACGCACGCACACTCACAAAGACTAGTAATGTGTCTATAGTTATATTGTGATGTCTTAGTAAATATTCTATTTGGTGAAAGATGAGCTTTATTGTATTTATCCTAGTGGATCTATAATTAAACTGATAAACTAGTATTAGCACATCCAACGTCAAGGAAAGCAAAAAGCCATTATCAGGAGAGGGAGAATGTTTTAGTGGTTAGCAGCAGTGTGCTAGTCAATGGCCCCCTCCATGAGGCCACCACAGCTCAGCAGAACGTCGTTGTAGCTTCTTCTGGGGAGAAAAACACTTACAGAGAAAATAAAGTTAACAGCTGAAATTGCACAAAATAGTACAGTTAAAGAGCAGACTGTAGAAGAAAGCAGTAGAGTGTGAAAAGTGGTCAGTGTATCCTCCAGCAGTCTAAGCCTATAGCAGCATAACTACAGAGATAACTCTGGATAATCTATCCTATTTAGATGTAGGCATGTTGGAGTCAGGGCAAGGGAGAGCCGTCTTTACCGACTGTACACTCCACCTCCCTGTACTCCCCCACTTGTCCAGATTTAGGCTAACATCAGATTTTAATCATAGGCCCTATCAAATAAAAATGTTTTAAGCCTATTCTTAAAAGTAGACAAAGTGTCTGCCTCACGGACTAAAGCTGGGAGCTGGTTCCACAGGAGAGGAGCCTGATAACTAAAAGATCTGCCTCCCATCCTAATTTGATGTTACAAAATGAGTAGTAAATGTACAAAATAAAAGTTTGATTTTACAAAATAAACAATACATGTGCAAAATGAAAATTTCCTGTTACAAAACATGAAATACATGTACGAATTGAGAATTACGAGTTAGAAAATTTAAGTTACAAGTTATGAATCCAAAGTTACATGTCATGAAACATGTTCCAAGTTACAAAACTTGGTACAAGTTACATTGAATATTGTCCCAATCCTAGCTCCTTAACAGACCCCCCACCCCCCACCCCCCGTGGCCAGAATTCCGCATTTGCAACTTCAGACTGGTGGGCTGTTCTGTTTTGACTTAGAAAAATTTAGCTGGCATACCCGGAGCTGTAGTCTGGTTCCAGCTCACTTCCTCCATGTTTTAGATGGACACAGCTGATTTGTTTACCTTAGTGATGAATTACTCCTGTAGACAATAAGGAAGGTTGAGGAGACATTTCAGCTGTTAGATTAAGGTGTTAAAAAGATGAATGCACAGCAAGGAGATAGGTTTCATTTTAGGTTTGACCACAGATAATAAATAACAAACGCTAGGGGATGCTAAAAGCAAGCAAAACTCCCAAGTGCATCTTTAATAGATGTGAATGAAAAATGGTTGTTACGTGTTTTTTTTTTGTACACTTTCTTCGCACACAGTGACAAGGATTCTCATGAAAGCAATTTTGGTGTGTTTACATCACATTCAAATTGTTCTCCAACACATTGCTTGCTTCCTTTCTTACGTCTTCCTTCTCCAATCCCCATAAAACCCTGTGTTCTTCTATGGCAAGCCTGAAGGACAGCAGACATCAATAAGCAGATATAAATAACACCAAGGCCTCTTCTCTTCTGGGTTTTCGAACTCAAAGGTCTGACATATTGAGTAAAAAAACCCCCACTACTTTTAGTTTATTTTTGTGTCCGACGTGTTACTACCACATGTACAGAGGGAGCTGTCAGCAGTCATGAGAGCATGTCTCCTGAGCTTTGCCCTGAGAGGAAGTTGTACAGTTAGAGATGGAGCTGGCTGTTATAAGTGAAAAGTCACACAGTGTACGCCTGGCCTGAACGTGAGGTGCAACAACAGAAAATGTGTGTTTTAGCATGCGTATGTGCCACAATAACTCAAAAATGTCTCAGTACAGCAAAGCCAGATTAATTCAAGTGAGTCTGAAACACCGAACACCTACACAGAGGGCAACAGTGAAAACAGGAAATGGTGCAATATTCCATACCGTGGCTTTTTAAGGTACAAGAAATATTTTTCGGTTAGCTTCTTTTACTGACTTAGGTTCTTTACAAAATACTGTGTTTTGCTGACCGGTGCAGAAGTACAGATTTGTGACTGTCATCACTCTGCTACTGTTGGCCCTACATTGGCTCCCAGTGCAGTACAGAGCCAAATTTAAGATCCTCCTAGTGTACAGGGCTCTTCAAGGCACTGCACCATCCTCTCTGTCAGCACAAATGCACAGACATGTCCCATCTCGGTCCCCCGCTCCAAATACAGGTTGAGGGGGGATGAAGCGTTCTCGGTTCTGCCTCCATCACTCTGGAACGAGTTACTTCTGAGCGTTAGGCAGGCATCATCGCTTCAGGTTTTTAAGTCTCGCCTGAAGACTCATTTTTATGTGATGGCGTTTCAACATTAGGGATCGCAACATTGCCTTGATCTTTTTATTTTATTTTATTTATTTATTTTTTAGCAGGTTTAACATGTTTTTCTGTTAGTTTCCTGTTTGTATTCAACATTATTTAAATGTTTCAATGATTGTTTTTAACTTTTATCTTTCTTTCAATGACTGTGAGTTTTATGGTTGCGTTCAGCACCTTGGTCGGCTGAAAAGGTGCTTTATAAATAAACAAATTAAATGAAATGTCTCTGGAAAATGTAAATTCAAACAAATCAAAGCTGAGACCTGTCAGCTGTTTACCATTATTTAAATCCTTTTTATGATGTTATATATCAGTTAGCACATTCATCACAATTTCAATCCAGGTTTTTATTGGGATCAGTGAGAACAACAGTACATATATACACAATTCCCAACTGAACAGAAGTTTATTTATTTGAAGGGTTTTATTATCTGTTGCAAAGGTCAGTTCTGCAGCAGCTGGCTGATGACATGCCAGGCATATTCACCTTCACACAGTCACTTTCTCTGTAACATCCCTTAAAGTAGAAGGGCTCTGTGGAAACAAAACCAGATGATTAACGGACACAGTTTTGCTCCTAAATTGTATTTGGTTTTAAATCTCCAGTATAAATCTTATTTCTACTCACGAGGTACGCCATAAAAGCTGGCACTAATGCAGACGCTGTCAGAGCTGATGCAGGTCTCCATGCGATCTGGACATCGTCTTTTACCTCCACAGTAACACTTCAAGGCTTCGTCTGGAAAAGACAAACAAACATGTTCACTTTTAAATCTACCTGTCATGCAATAAATGCTCATATAAATTAATTTTGTCTGTGAGCATCAATCAGATAAGCATCTATAGATATGTACTCACTCTGGCTGATGAGCAGAAACACCAAAACAGCAAAAATCACAGCCTTCATGCTTTTTGTTTCCTGTCTGAAGAGGACTCTGCCTTAAAAACAGATTAAATCATGATCAGAATTCATGTCACTGCAGTAAATAATGCTGGGATATAATTAACATGTAGAAAACACATCTCACCTGTTCAACTGAGCTGCTGAAGTTTAGTCTGGACCAGTCGGATCAGAACCTTCCTTTTATTTTGGTCAAGTTGCACAACTGAAGAAATTCCAGGTGTTCTTTTAGCTTTGGAACAAACTTATCTGGGTATTCCTGGCAGAGATGTCACAGTCAGCCATTATTACCAAACTCACAAACAGAATGTGCAAATATTATTGAATGTTTCATTCAGGCACATCTGAATCCAATTACAAATGCTGCAGCGTTTGCCGGCACAGATTGGGCAACCCCTCGGGCTCATAAACTGTAAACAGTGAATACGTCCATCTTTGGCCATTTTAAAAGGAGAAAAACTGGCAACCACCCAGTCGGCTGTTTCAATCTAACCGTCCTTCCAACATGATTGAGACATTAGACTGTTTTGTGATTTTTCTCACTGTAGTTCATTTAAGATAATCAATAACTTAATACATATTTTGTGGATTTTTCTACAGCTCTAGTGCTTATAGTAAAACTTTAATCAAGGCAAAATAAGGGTTTGAGCTATTTTATGAATTTTACACAAATCTGTAATGAATATAGTAAACAACTTATTTCAACCAAGGCCATTTTTACTGTGTCCTCATGTACATGAATATAGTATTATATTTTTTTCTTCCGGCTCTTGGAGGGTGCAGACGCTTTTCTTCTCCTCTCCTCCATATCTTATCCTCAAGGCCTTTGTCTGTCTGTGTGTGCTGGGTGCATGGCTGCTTCTGCATTTTTTCTGGAAACTGGAAACTGAAATTCACTAAAACGGATCTCGTCAGTTGGTCACTCAACGCGGTTGATACAAATTTTTCAACGATGATAACGGGAGAAGGGGCTCCCAGATGCCCCTCCGGGACAGACCAGATGTCTGTGGAGGACTCTGAAGATGTGTGGATATTCGTTGGTGTCGGGTTTCCTGCTGATCGGCATTGGAGGCTACCTGGCTTACTGGAAAATTAACGCGCTGTAGAGGAATATTGGCCTGATCCCTGAGCTCAGAGATGGATTGCACTGCACTGTGAATTCACAGACTCTTATAAGTGTCGAGATGAATCGTAAGCTTGGGCCTTTGGCCGAGATTCATTCATTGGCACAAAGATGGATGCCATCAAGGATAGAGTGGACGAATCAGCACGGATTGGGATAGTTTAATGTCCATTATTGGGATTTTGGGAGGTTGAGGACCAACAAACTGTAAGACAGAGGGGAAATTATCTCTGTCTTGCCCCAAAACAATTTCTAATCGGAATCTGGCGTCCTTGAGCCTGCAAGGCTACAACGAAAACTCCCCCCTCAGAAGATATGTGGAATGTGCCGTCGCTATGGCAACTCAACTCTGTCTCCTATCCCAGTTTGGGCGGGATGGCGAGAAGGCCGCTGAAACGTTCCAGGGTCACTGCAACCCTCCAACCCTCAGTGCTCCTCCTCCTATCCACACTGAGGTGACATGCGCTGCTTCTATCATGGCTGCAGGAACTGAAGTAGGGATAGTCCCAACCCACCACCCCACCTAGTGGACACTTATGTTGTGTAATGTCTGAAGTCTGTTGCATATATGTTTGAGGCGTTTTTTTTTTTTTTTTTTTTTTTTTTGCAGAGCAAAGCTGCCCTCCCTACAGAGGGTAACTCTGAAGTGCCTTTTTTGCCACCTGAACCAACCCTCATGTAACCCTCTTATCTCTATTAAGGTAGCGCGACTCAGGGTTGCGAATGACCACAGTCACCAATTCTTGTCGTGTGTCTTGCCCATGAATGTCTGATCTCTGAATTGCGTGTACTGAAACTCTAATTTTCCTCTGGGATTAATAAAGTATCTTTGATTGATTGACTGATGATTTATGCAGCTCTGGTAAACATCTTCTCTAAGATTTTTTTGTTTAACTGTAAAGCTCCCATGTCAAAGAGGAATAAAAATGATTTTACACCACACAGTTTTGTTTCACAGTTGGTTTGTTTGTAAAAGGTAAACTTAAACATTTAATCATTTTGATCATGACTCAGTAAATTCATAGAGGTTGGGGTTCTGTGAAAATGCCAAGAACTTTAAAGCATTCTGCAAATTATACAGAAATATTTAACTAGAGCCCATAAATAAGGCAACAGCACCCCCCAACCCAGAGCCAACGGAGGTTAGCACAAATTACATAATCAATATTTGTTCATTCTGTTCGAGAGTCTGATCTGTGAGAAAAAACCCACATGAGTAACCAGAGTGAGTCACCTGTGCCAACCAAACCCTGATAAGTTTGTTCCAAAGATAAAACAACACCTGGAATTTCTTCAGTTGTGCAACTTGACCAAATAAAAGGAAGGTTCTGATCCGACTGGTCCAGACTAAACTTCAGCAGCTCAGTTGAACAGGTGAGATGTGTTTTCTACATGTCAGTTATATCCCAGCATTATTTACTGTAGTGACATGAATTCTGATCATGATTTAATCTGTTTTTAAGGCAGAGTCCTCTTCAGACAGGAACCAAAAAGCATGAAGGCTGTGATTTTTGCTGTTTTGGTGTTTCTGCTCATCAGCCAGAGTGAGTACATATCTATAGATGCTTATCTGATTGATGCTCACAGACAAAATTAATTTATATGAGCATTTATTACATGACAGGTAGATTTAGAAGTGAACATATTTGTTTGTATTTTCCAGACGAAGCCTTGAAGTGTTACTGTGGAGGTAAAAGACGATGTCCAGATCGCATAGAGACCTGCATCGGCTCTGACAGCGTCTGCATTAGTGCCAGCTTTTATGGCGTACCTCGTGAGTAGAAATAAGATTTATACTGGAGATTTAAAACCAGATCCAACTTTGGAGCAAAACTGTGTCCGTTAATCATTTGGTTTTGTTTCCACAGAGCCCTTCTACTTTAAGGGATGTTACAGAGAAAGTGACTGTGTGAAGGTGAATATGCCTGGCATGTCATCAGCCAGCTGCTGCAGAACTGACCTTTGCAACAGATAATAAAACCCTTCAAATAAATAAACTTCTGTTCAGTTGGAAATTGTGTCTATTCATATTCTCACAAACCCTAACCCTATTTTATAATTTGCAGAACATTCACAAGACTTCAGTCTCTATAATTTTAATAAGACAGTTTTAAATACTTGGAGTCTCAGCGACGGATCAACATTTCCACCATGTAGGAAAATAAACGTACCTTTCAGAAACTAACCAGTTTTAAAACCAAGTAGTGTCACTATGTGTGGTGTGAAAGCATTTTAACTCTTCTTTGACATGGAAGCTTTACGTTAAAAAACAAATTCTCTGACACAATTATTATTATGAATACCATAAAATAGGCACAAAAAACCCTTGGATTGAAATTGCAATAAATGTGCTAAATGATAAATATCATAAAAGTTATTCACCATACCAAATTTATTTGTAAAGCACATTAAAAAAACTGCATATCAGCTGACCAAAGTGCTGCATGGTAGTGCACAGGGAGTCAGCATAGATTAGCTAATAGGGTGTGATGAGACAGTATTTGGGCTTGTAAGAAATCTTGCTGCAGCATTCTGGACTTTCTGTAATTGGCTGAAGGCGGATGCATTAACACCGATAAGAACTGAGTTGGCATAGTCCATTCTGGAGGTAATAGATGTTTGATTAACAGATTCCAAGTGCGTTTTTTAAAGAATGGGCTTTAGCAACGAAGCTGGAAGAAACAGGATGTTATGGTGGCATTTACATAGGTGGACAGTCAGCATCCAACTTAACCCCAAGGCTAGTCACACAGGGGTAAAGGTTTAGGGAGGAGAGATCAAAGGCAGCAGCTGTATGCAATTTATTTGTTGGTTTGAAAGGAATGGCCATGGTCTAATTGTAAATGAACCATAGGATGTTGGAAGCAAGCCAGGTTTTAATGGCCAAGAGACATTCTCGAAGCAGATTAGTGGAACTTGACTGATTTAGAGCCAAATAAATCTGGCAGTCATCAGTGTAGAGATGGTAGTGCAAGCTATGTTTAGCTAAAATGTTACCCAGTGGCAGAATGCAGATGGAAAAAAGTAGTGGACCCGTAATAAAACCCTGGGGCACTCCCTTGGGGAGCGGCAAGAAAGGAGAAGAGCAGTCACCCATGTGGATGCTGAAACTTATATCAGTCAAATAAGAGTGGGACCAGTTTAGAGGGATCCCTGTGACTCCCATCCATGATTCCAGCCCCTTCAGCAGAATGTTGTGGTTGACTGTATCAAATGCTGCTAAGAGGTTGAGCAGTTATAACAGGACATAGGAACCAGCATCACACTAACACTAAGTTGAACTAGTAGTGCACTCTGGGACACAGCAGTCTTCATGGTACTGCTTCTCTTGCTTTTGAAAAGTAAATTTCTTAGCAGGGGGTGCCATTGGTCCATAGTTTCCAGTTGCCACAAAGGCACCAGAAGGGACTTCTGCATATCACGAATGCTGAAAAGAGCATCTTGAGGCAATCTTGAAAAGAGCCTGTAACACATATACTAATTTTTACACATCCCAACAAATCCCACAATGGTTACCTTTATGATGAAAACAAAGTAATCAAATAGACCTTGTGGTTACAAAAATATACCCATTACTCCTAATACTCAATCATCTGTACCTTACTAAAATTATTTTTAATTTTAAAAATTGTTTTGGAGCAGATCGTCTTCAATGATTAAAATGCAATTAATCAAGATTAATTAATTACAAAGCCTCTGATTAATTAGATTAATTTTTAAAATCGAGTCCCACCCCTAGTTTTAAGCTAACTTATTTCCCAAATTTGCTATAGCAGCTTTGAACTGTGCAACAAGCAACACTCAAGGCAACAGGGACAATGCATGTATTTGGTATGTTGGTTTTAATGATAATGTGCTTAGCTTACCCTATTCCAGAGTTAATATTATAGTGGTAATGTGAAATATTTATTTATTTGAAAATGACCCAGAAGTCAAAGCTTGTCTTCCCTCTGGTGGCTAAAGGTGCAGCATTCAGTGTTTATTCATTCTCCGTAAACCAAAACAAACTGATGGTTTTTGTTTAATAAGGGATTGTTTCAAGAGACAAAAATATCAATAAGCTGTCAACTTTATGATTTT